CCAAAGATCGCCTTCTTTACGTTACCTATATGAGTCTCTTGAATCAGCTTGTTCCTGAGTGGTTCGAATAATTCTTGATGTACTCATACGATTCCTGGTTTTTTTGAGTCTAGGTCATTTCAATTTGAATGTTTGTTTTATTATTGTTAAGTTAGTTTGAAGATATATATATCTTATGTTTACTTTCAAGTAGCAATATATACGATATTCTCGTGTTATTTGTCATCTGCTTTTGCGTAAGATCGAAAGCTATTATATATTTTAGAATTGTTCTTTTACATCTTGTGTTCACGACTTTTCCATGTGTACGGATAAATACAATATTTATTACAGGTTTGATGCAAAAGGAAATGATTTTCGTTTATGGGAGAGATCAACTATAGGCTATAGCTCGATATAATTTAATCAAGAATTTAGCATTCTTATTATCGATATATTTATTTATTTCGAACTGTCAAAAATTTATTAAAAACTCAATTAAAAGCACAAGGAAAGTCTTATTTAAGTTAGGACAAAAAAAATAATGTACACCTCAAATGCAAGAGCAGCATACAAAAGTTATAAAAATAAGGTAGCACTGCTATTGGATAAAACGGCTGATACCCCATATTATTATATAAATAAGTTTTTTCTTGGCTGATAAAAAAAAAAAATAATTCAGCAATTGACATCAGTACTGTTCCCTCCAATTAGACCTTGCAAATGCTTGATATGCTCTTGTGCTTCATTATTATACATTGTTGTTTGAAAACCAAACCACCAAAAAGCATAAATACAAAACTAAGAAAAATAGGTTACATTCAAAGAATAGACGCTTAATTAAGTATCCTCCATCTTCTCAAGGCATCGTACACAAATTTCTGCGGTCTCATTGATTATTTCCCTTCTAGGAAAAATTCATTGTTGTTGGAAATTTATTTTGAATTGATTCTATGCAAAAACCAACACTTAGCAGAGTAAGCTTGTGCCACAATATCTTCCATGAGCCTCCCCATTCAATGTTATTATATGCTTATAATGGATTTATTAATATATATATATATATATATATATATATATATATATAAAGAAAACGAATTACGGTCAACTAGTAAAATTAAAAATAAAAAGGTGCAATAAACAATGACATTGTCCACTTCCAGATTTTAAAAATATATAATATCTAAATAGACAATATTATAATTATTTTTTAAATTAAATTTTAATATATTCTATAAAAATATCAACAATTAAAAATAATTTTAAATTAAAATTTATAAACATTATATCTAGTCCTTATAAAATATTTTCTGTTCTTATAAAATGAGTATATATTAGTTTTGATTCTTGTGAAATATTTTTTCTTTGATTTTTATTCTTTAAAAATTTAAAATTATTTTTTTTTTGGTATATTTTACTACTTTTTTGATATTATTTCTCAACAGGCAGGTGCAAATGATCTTATCATGCAACAGGTTCAGAATTTTATATATGCGAATGGGAATTATCAGCCTCCCTCTGCCTTTGATCTGGACAAGTCATTGTTGAAGGATTTGTTATTCAACCAAAGTCCCACCAAAGATGTTGCCCTAGCGTTTGGCTCGATGAGGTCTGTGTGCCATTTGCACCAGTTCTAGAGAAGCTTTCCCTTTCAGGTAAGGCCGTTTTTTTTTTATAGAAACTCTTGAAGACAATGTCATACCCATTTGCCTGCAGGAGAACATGATAAATGCTAACTCCCCTATAAAAGGTTTTCCGTTTGAAGGGAGCTGATCATTCTCCTTTTATATCTAAGGCTCAAGCTCTGCATAAGTTTTGATAGAAATCTCAAAGATCCTCCGAGTACGTTCATTGGCTAAATTGTTTGTGAAGTCCTACTAAAGTCATCATTTTTCTTTTTAACAATAATTTTAAGGTATATAAATAGCATATATTTTAAAAATTTATTAAATTTTTTAAAAGTTTCATGCACTCTCAGTTGTTTTTATCATTTAAGCTTTTAATAAATAAATAATTAAAAATAATCATATAATAATAGAGACTAAAAATAATAATTCTAAATTTTAGAAGAATAAAAAATAAAAAATTATTTTATAGGGATCAAAATCAAAATTTATTCATTTTATGAGAACCAAAAGTATATTTAGACCTAAAATAAAAATATACTACCTTAATATATATTTTAATAATGACAAATCTTAATTTTAAAATTTTAATTATGAAGAGTTTTCATATCTACCAGATTTATTCAAGTGTTTCAAATTTATTTTATTTAGTATTCAGAAGTTTTGTAACACCTTCTACTTCTGCTTCTCATGAATAATTATTATAATATAAATAATAATAAAAATTAACACTTCATTTAATAATTAAAAAAATTATGGGTAAAAGATATTACATAACAACTCCAAATAACAAGATTGAAAGTAAAACAATTACGATGAATAACAATTAATGTGAAAATATTTTCTTAAGAAAATAAACTAAAATTCTAATATAATAATGACAGAAAATAATCCTTAATTAAAATTTTGATGTCACATCTTATCATAGTAATTCCATCAACAATTTAAATTATTCCAAAATTAAAGTCACATGCATAAACATACAAAAAATAAGATATAAAAGAAAAAGTAGAATGAAAACATATCTCAGTCCAACTATCAAAATAAAATCTCCTGAAAAACTCGTTTCGGACTGAATTAACAACATCAAGAACAACCAACAAATGATGTGCTAAACAAAAAGTAAACTAAATAATAATACATAGAAAAAGTTTACACAAAATCTATCAGAGATAAAATTGTATAAGAGTTAATTAACAGAATTATTAATTTTTTTTCCCAATATAATGACCTCGCAAACACCTACAAATAAACATACATAGAGAAACACACACAGACACAAATAAACACATATACATTAAAACACAGACACACATACAAATAAACACTCAACACACTCAAACACACACATAGAGATACAAAGACACACATAATCTCATAGACACATACAAATACACAGACACACATTGACACACACAGACACATACATATACACATAGATAAATACAAAGACACAAACCCAAGCATGAACCATCACACACATACGTAGACACACATACACACAAACACATGCATACATATTGACAAAGACACAAACAAACGCACGCACACAGGTAAATAAACACACAAAAATAGACAAAAAGACACACACACAAAGGCACACAGACAAGCATAGTTTGACACGCTCACTCACATACAAACAAACACATTAACACAAAAAGAAACACACATAAACACTAGCATAGAGACACACACACATAGACAAAGGCACATAGATACACACAAACAACACTCACACAAACTTACTAACACTCAAACGACACTCACACAAACTCAGACACATCCCACATACAAACATAAACACACACACACAGACACACAAATAACGCACTCAAAAACACATGGACAAACAAACAAACACATGCATGTACAAAAACATACACAAAGAGATGCACACACACAGACATAGACACACACAAAAACTCCCAGAAATAAGCATACATAGACACAATGACACACACATAGAGACAATCACACACACACAAAAACAGACAGACATGCACACAAGCATAGAGACACACACACATTGAGGCACACAAACAAACAAACACACAAACAAACACATACAGGTACACACAAACATAAACAAAGACATAGACACACAAACACACAAACGCAAAGCAACACACAAACAACAGACACACATAGATACATTCACATCCATACACACACAAAGACGAACATTGACACAGACACATAAATACACAGCCACATAGAGACACACACATAGATACAAAGAAACACACAAACGCACAAACAAACACAACCACACAAAAACACACATAAACACAAACACCTAGACACACACACATACATACACAAACGCATATACATCCAAGCACATAAACAAAGAGACACATACACAAAGACATAGTCAGACAGACACAAATGAACACAAACACACACAAATAAACACACGCACCTGGACACGTACACACTGACACACAAACACATGCATAATCACACAGACACACAAATAAAGACACACACATAGAGGCACACAATCACACACAAGTGCATACACATAAAGAAACACTAAGGCAAACACATGCACACATAAAGACATACAAATACACACAAAAAGAGACTAACACACGCATAAAAACACTCACACCCATAAACAGCCAGAAGAAAATAGACGAATACATAAAGACACATAAATAGAGAAACACACACAGGCACACAAACAGAAACACACACACACATAACACACACATAATCACATGCACACACACAAATGTAGATAAACACACACGAATACACACACAAACACACACATGGACACAACACACATAGAGATAGGCACAAACACACATAAGCACAAAGAGACATGCACAAAGGCACACAGACAAACATAGTCTCACACACCTAATGGCACACACAGACAAACACTCACACATAGACACATGGACACACTTGCACAAAAACATCAAAAATAAAAGTGGCACCCGTAGGTCCCCCCTTGGCTCCGTCCTTGGACATGATGTAATCCTTTTATACATTCATATTCTCAATATATTAATTTTTAACTTATTTTGTTTCTTTCTCCTTTCTCTTCTTTGCACTCTGTGTTCTAACATGTATCATGACCATATGGATTTTATAACTATTAGTTATAGATTTTTAAATGTTGTACATTTGTAATTATTAATAAAGAAAAAACATTTTTAAATAACTGTTTTCGTTTCTATTTTTTAAGATTTTTTAATTTATTCGATTATATAATAACTTCTTATAAATAAAGGATAAAATTATATATATATATATA